ACAACTTGGACAACCAAGTAAAAGGAGGGACATAAAAGACAGCTTTATGCCTTGGAGCATTTGAGTTTCCTTTTTTTTACGTATTTGCATAAGTTTGTTTGTATTTTGGCTTTCCGGCAGTTTCGTAGTCCGTAACATTTTGCTCCTGGCGTTTCAAGAGTCACACTCAGAAATGAAAGGGCGATTTGGCAAGTCTTGACATTTATTCGCAATGTGAGGCGTTGGGCAAAATTACCAGCTCCCTCAGAATATTATGACCGTAAACTTAATTCTGGATGTGTGCTATCCCTAAAGTACGTAACGCTTCGAGGCAGTGCCGTGGCGTGAATTGCGATATATCGATCGATATGTAATTTAAACCTATGGTACAGAATCGATTATCAAGGTGTTCGCTGCGAACACCCTGTTTATCAATCCTTTTCCATAGATTCAAACGGCAGATCATCCGATATATCGCAAAGCACGCCACGCCACTGCTTCGAGGAGTTGGCGAAGCTCTGTGCCATCCATAAGCAGCGTTACAGGAGTAGCAGTTATTTGCTCAACATAGCGTCACATAGCGTGCAGGAAGTTTTTAAGAAATTTAACTCGATTTTTGAGTACTGAACTTTAAGTTTCCTACATATCTTTCGTTACTGAATTCCATTGCTCTTTTATCTCGTTCTCTCGAGCAAAACTACTAAATCAATTTACATGCACCGTTTTGCGGCACCCGTGGGGAAACCCTGGTAAAAATTGGCGATAGGAGCTGCGTTTCAAAATACCATAGGAGAGCTTATAGCCGACTGAAGAAGGCGATAGAAAATCATATAGCCGGCTGTATATAGAAAGTGGAAAAAATTATACGGCCGGGCTACACGAAGCGATAAAAAATCATACAGCCGGGCTATAGTTCCTATCGCAGGGCTTTACACTTTATCGCCTGGCTATTGCTTTTTCGCCATCGGCTATAAAAGGCTATACGAAATTGTATGCTTTGTAAATCCTTAAGTTTGTACGGAATCACCTTAATATTTACAAAACGCACATTATATTTTGCTTTACTACATATTTTTTTTCATCAACCAAAATGAGAATAATCCATACAGAATGTGCAAACATTTCAAAGTCATGAGTTGAAAAACGCTGACTCCACGAGATTAAATATTAGAGCCTAACACAAAGCGGAGCGGCGGCGCACCGGCGCCTTCAAACCTAACAGGGATACTCCACGCATTGCGCAATGCGTGAAGTATCCCTGTTAAGTTTGAAGGCACCAATGCGGGTTTGGCGCTGGCTGACCGCCCGCCGCGCCGCGCTGCGCCGCAGCGTACCACGGCGCTTGAAGCAACTATTTCACACCAGAGGTATTGCACAGTATCATATAAAATTGCAGGCGCTCCAACATGTTAGGAATGGCAGGCATCCTTCAAAAGTACGGAGCTTTCCTCGCAAAATAAATCAAGATACTACGGCCCAAAAAGAGAGCGGTAGTCCAAAAACTCACTAAGTCCTAGCATCCGTAATTAGTAACGTTTAGCATACACTTTATCGCCAGGCTGTTGCTTAGTCGCCATCGGCTATAAAAGGCTATAAGAAATTGTGTTGCCGGCTATAGAAGCTATTGGAAATCTTACAGCCGGCTGTAGGTCTATGGTATTTTGGAACACAGATTCTATTGTCAATTTTTACCAGGGTAAACACATCGGGTGAGCAGTCAGAGCTTGTGTCATGTTGAAGTATCCGATAATTCAACCTAGAGTCCCTTTATACTTCAAGACAATTTGAATCCATTTCTGATTGGTTCCTGTATTTCAGGCCTTCACAGTGTCACAAACGGGAATAAATATTACAGTTTCGCCAATTACAAATATTATAACCTAGAATGGACCATGGAATTACGGGTTCGGCAAGGAACAAACGGAATGAGAGAAGGCACGGTGAAAGGAATTTGAGAATGGGCCGATCAAAGATTACGAAAAACGTTCAATTTCTGTAATCTTTATTCCCGTTCAGGACTCCATGAGGGGGTGTTGTCTTGACTCTCAGTATAAAGGGACTCTAATTCAACCCTGCTCTGAAAAAAATCGCTCCATTGAGAATTTTGCCTTTGAGGTGTAAGATCTCTTTTCTTGTGGACGCTCACAATTAGTGTTCTCGTTCGTTCTCATCGATTTTGAATAAGAGAGTCCTACAGATACGAAAGTCCTTTGCGTATTTTTACACCCCCAATGGCGATTTACAGTTGAGAGTGGTAGAAAGTGGTTAAGAGGGTCCGGGTTCATCTCTCCCGAGGAACCTTATCAACGAATCCGAGCAGTTTTTTCATCACATGCACCCGGTCGATCCCAGCAGAACCTCGCTTAACGACATTCATTAAAAGTGGGTGACTGCAAATTATTAACGAAAAGAGGTCTGCAAATTGTTTGAGTAGGAGAGATAGGGGAAGGGGGAGGGAGATATTCAAGCCACCCCCCTCCCGGTCTTGTACACGCTAAGGAGGAATACGCCATATGATTTTTCTAACGTTGCCAAATATGTATTTTTATAGAACATGAATTTCCCCGAAATATTTGTAAGAATCCCTCACTCTATTTCTTAGAGATTTGAGAATGAAATTCCATTATAGGCGTCTGAAAATTTCAAGATAAAACACAAATTATAACTTTTCTCAAAAATATTTTATCGAGGGCATATTTCTCAATGATGTGATTGTACAGCATTTTTCCTCAGCTCGCACTTAAGTGAAGTTTTTTTCTGCTTATCCGAAACTTATCCTTAACTTATCCTTAAACTTATCCGAAAACTTCAGAGATCCACATGACTTCAACTTCGGATCCCACGCACGAGAGTTTCTTCTCCGTTGTTGATCGATCGCAGTAGATTCTTCGCCTCAGATTGTAATAATTTCATATGCAATCTTGAAGAATTGAAAATCCCGCATATACCGTGTTTTTGCTCAACACGACAGAGTATAACGGCTTCTTCTCAGAATAAACAAAATGAGATCATTATAGTCCGTTTTTACTTGGTTAGTGTAATTGTTGTACCGCTTCTGCAAACCATAACGTATTTTAGTGCATTTGAGCAAACCCCTGCATCCGAATATTTTTTATGAGCCAGAGCTCTTGAATGCAAACAAGGCGTCCTCCAATTAGTTAGGTCTGACTCAATTTATTTAGACGTCGTGTTTTCTTTTGGTTAGCTTCAGCGATGTGTATGTACTTGGGCTCCGCGAAACGCAGCAACCTTTTGTTCTTGAATAAAAGCAGGAGAAAACCACTCACAACATTGCATTACACAGTAAGGCAGAAATCGGCCCCGCGAACATATGCAACACCTGAACATAAAGGAAACACAGGAGCAAGGAAAGGAAAAACACAGGACGCGTTTCTCATCTCGCGCTCTTGCTGCACTCGCATTTGGACGTATTTCTGTCAAACGGAACTATGTGCATTATGACGTGAGCCCTGAGACCAATCAGAATATATGTATAACAGGGCTCACGTCATAATGCACTTAGTTCCGTTTGACAGAAATACGTCCATTTAATGTCAGAGGCGAGAGGGTGCAATGCCTGATAAAGAAAGAACCGTTATAGAGGGCAGCCTGGTTTATCAAACAGACGATCTAAGATTGAAATATAGTCCACAGTTGAGTGGTAATGACATCACTGATGCACCGCAATCGGCCACGGTAGCAGCGGATGGGCGTCTGTGAATTCACCTTCCCCGATAAATCACTGGACGGACCAGCTATCATTGTTGTGCATTCGGGTGAAAATCCACTTGATTCCTCTACCCAGCCCGAGGCCGGAGCTTGTATACTTTTTCTGCAAATGGCAACTCCTTTCGAAAGCCATGGACTTGCAGCGGGGTCACAATGTTTGTCCACAATCGTAGATACAATGTAGGTGTACACATGTACTCGCGCGTTCCGGCAAGTGACGCTAATGGATCAAGACGAAACATATAGAAAAATGGGGAAGTAAAATATTAATTTTCGTAAGAGATTTAGACAATGTTGGTCGGACTCGAAATTTTTGGGGCGCTGATACGTTTTTGGGGCCCCTCCTCTCGGGTGGAGCCCCTCTACCTGACCTAAAGCCCTCCTTTATGTGAGTTTTCCAAGTTTAAGGGAGTCCCAACAGGAGTCCTGTCGGGGCCTCCTGAGCCACCCGTCAGAACTTCTGTGGTGCTGAAGCGGTAAAGCGCCCTAGCATCCCTGGCCAGACCGCCCCTGGATTTAAAGAACGTCAAAGTATCGGAGTCAAAAAACCAACTAATTTGATGCAATTTCTAATGAGATTTTGACAGTAAACTGATGGCGTAAGAGACGCTAGGAATCTAGTTCTTGTGTCTTACAAGAATGCCCCAGCATTTGAATTGGTCCATGTGAAAACCAGATATGTCTATCATCTGATAAAACCTGAGCCCCTTGAGAATGCCTGTTTTCAGAGCTCATTAAATATTGGCTTAAAATCGACCGACTTACTAATGCTATGCACAGCGCACGCTTTTAATGCTGACGAAATGAGGAAAAATTAAAAGCTGGGGTCAACTGCTGTCGCACTCGTTGTAAGCCTCTTTGCGCTCATCAAGTTGGCGGACTTGAGAAAAAAGAGGGCACTCTGATGAGGGAGTCGAGGAATATTAGGCGGTGGTGAGGTGCTCTACACCAAAGAGCGATATAATGTAGAAATATGCCTTAATTTTCCTCCATTAGTCTCCTTTTCCCTCTCTTTGACCTTTGAGTTCATCATTCTGCGTAAATATGACCTTTGAAAGTTTCCTCAGATACGTCTTTAGCAAAGTCACCAATTAGTGGGACAAAAAAAAATATTTCATCAGAGGTATAGGTCCATTCTACATATGAATCAAGTGTCACGTATGGGTGGTAAAACTGCAGAAATGCGTGCATCGATTTGCGGCGTTGCAGACTTCCTGTCATACTTTATTTCTTGCATGGAAAACCACTGAAAGTCATTTTTCCTAAAACTTGGGTGATTTTTTTTGTTCCAGATTTACCTTCGGATTTTGGTTATTGATTCTACTTGAAGCGGAAAAAATCGTCTCAAAAATCAAGCATCACAACGAGGTGAGCCAGTTGGGTATTTTACAATAATGAAATATTTTTTATATTCAACGGGTTCTTCTCAGTTTGCAACCGGTGAAACGCGCGCAGGTCGTGCGCCTGCTAACCGAAAGAGAGACGCAAAAAACTGAAATCCAAAATTTTGGCGGATACAGCAAAATAGTATATCGACGATGTAAGTCCGCCACGTATCTCGTTTGCGATGTTTGAGAATCTCCGCTCCTATTTTATATTTTTAAAGGGGAACTAACCGACATCGCTCCTTGAAGTTTGCGCAGAATTATCTTCGCGAGAAAAGACGAATCACGGCAGTTTTTAAGGATTGCCGTTGAATACTTTTCCATTTCAAAAATAGCGTATGGCTGGAGGCCTGCAACGTCGCAAACCGAGCATTAAGACATGATCCCTGAGACTCATAAGAATACATGCATAACACGGCTCACATCATAATGCACATAGTTCCGTTTGACAGGAATGGAATACGTCCAAATGAATCGGAGAAGAGCGCTCTGAACTGAGGCTTAGGCTTCCACATCCATTATGACGCCAGTGGCGTGGCATGAATTGCGATCCATTGATTGTTATGCCATTTAAACCTATGGTAAAGAATCGATTATTAAGGTGTTCGCTGCAAACACCCTGTTTATCAATCCTTTTCCATAGGTTTAAATGGTATAACAATCGATACATCGCAATTCACGCCAAGCGACTGGGTGACGCCTCACGCGCAAGTGTAAACACCTCCAGCATTTTCGGAGGTACTATTAAAAATGCAACTTCTCATCGTCCTACAAAAAATTTTACGGCCCTTCATCAATTCAATCACGTCTGCGAGACTAACACAGTCCTTTCAAAATAATGTTGTGCAAGAACCTATGCAGCTGGAGTGACATCGTGAGATTTCAGCTTTGGGAAGGGGAGGGGGCATCACATTGGGTTGTCGTAAAATCAGCATCGAATTGTAGCCCTTAAATTTGGAGCTGCTTCCCGAAACGATTCAGCGATAACGGTGCAATTAAGTGTTATACAGGAGGTTTTCTATCTGTTCTTGCCAAGTTTAAGTGAAAATCGGTATATCTCTCTGTTCTGGATTACCACGGAGCCCACGTTGCGTTATATAGGAGGGTGGTTTCACGATAACTAGAATAGTTTTGTCGCCGTAACAGACAACACATTTTCCGGTCGTATTTTTAGTAGAAATGATAATCACTCGAATTTTTTCGCATTAATCTTCAAAGGGTTACGGATTATAAAGCTTTTTAATGATTTGTTGCTCTACTTCTCAATTAATATTATTGAAATTCCGGAAATGTGATGTCTGCTACGCGGTAAAAAGTCGGCGTAACAGGCAGTACATTTTCGGCCATCTATATATCAAAATTGAAAAGTAGACGAGCGATAAATCTTTGAAAAGCGTTATAACACGTAACCCTGTGTAGATTAATGCAAAAAAATTTGAAAGATTATCATTACTACTAAAAATATGGCCGAAAAATGTGTTGTCTGTTACGGCGACAAAACTATTCCACATACCGTGAAACCACCCAGGTACTACACGAAAATTGAGGATTAGAGTCAAGCGAAGTATTTATCGAAACAATGATACGACTATTCGTGTTACCCTGTCGTGCGTTTAGTATATCTGGATTACTGAAGGCACATTTTCGCGATCGGAACCACGTCCATCCCCGCCACTGGTGAAAAACGACATTCACCGATGGAATCCAGCTCGTGTTGATTTACTTCCGTGGATTCCGTTACGATCTTGAAAGGAACCATGACAGGACCAGCTAAAAATCAGTTCCCTTCTGTTAAAGGACTCTGTTCGATTTATAAAAATATAGGAAGGAATTCGTCACATTTAATCATATTAACTAACTATTTTGAGTTATATAGTCAATAAATTTGGTTTAAAGAAGTTTTAAAGCGTGTCTCACTTGATGATAAGCGAAAATTCTGTTAGTGTAAGCTATTTTTAAATACTGGAACGTTAAGAATCTCGAATCGATTTTCTCAAAACGGGTAAAAGCGTGTTTGTTCCCCTCTGCGAAATGCGAGCTATCTCGTTCCAGCTTAATTTGCTCGAAGGTTGCCGCAAATTGGACGTGTTCCTGTCAAACGGAACTATGTGCATCATGGCGTGATCCCTGTTATACATGCATTCTTATGAGTCTCAGGGCTCATGTCTTAATGCACATAGTTCCTTTTGATAGAAATAGTCCAATTGTCATCGGATTTTAAAATGTTTTACTCGGAGCCGCTCTTTTCGAAATTGAAGAAATTAATGCCACTTGTCGAATTAAACTGCATTTCGCATAAGGAACTAAAATTTCTGGCTAATCCATGAAAGCACTTCATCGCATAGAGAAACTAATGGCATATGTTATGTTTCTAAAAAGAGCAAAAAACTTTTAGCTCCTCGCTGCAATGTGTAGTCCAATTAAAAGTCGTCATCGTCATGCGTCGAACGGTGAGTTGTAATGTTTCTCTCCGGGAAAAATGTGTTGATGTTCCAGTCGGCAACCTAGCTCTGAAACGCATTAAATTGACTCCTGCTTGTCAACTGTTTTGCGAGATCGGGAGTCAATGGCGAAAGGATTTGTCGGGAAGCGACATTTATGACAATTCGAAATTTTAATTGTTTTTCTTACTATGGAAGATTTATTGATAGCCCACTTAATTTCGTAGTCGCGTCGTCGGGTGCAGCGTCAACCTCTCTATACAACCACCATAAAAATCAGGCAACTCGAAATAGTTCCTCTTTCCCTCTGTTGCCGCATTTCTAAATAGTATCACAACATTAAATCTTTCAATTTTTCCTTTGTAGGCCATGCTAGACTACTATAAATCAATATCAGTTGCTGGTAAGGTTATAGGACATTTCGTCAATGATTTTTTGTCCGCGCACCTGTTTTTTCTAGTAATTTACGTCCACGCGTTTTTTCGGCACGGGAGTTTTGGTCCAAGTGCCAGTTGAGACCCCAAGTTAATTGGCCCACATGTAAATACAAACGACAATTACTCACGACGTTTTTGGATGAAAATATATAATGTCTTGGAAGAATCAGGGTTTGCTTGTTTTTTTTGTTTTGTCTGTTTGATCCAACGGAGAATAATATATAGTTGAAAGTTTTGGTAAACATGGGGGAGCGTCATTTCCATGAGACAAAATTCACTAAAACTCTCTACACCTCCTAGGTGTAACAGGACTTAATTATCTTTCAAGAAATTCCCACCTTGTTATACCTGAACCGAATAAACCTCTATATTTGCCTCAGCTAAAGGCTCTTAAATTTTTCCTGTGTACAATAAGTATCTTGATTTATTTTGCGAGGAAAGATCTGTACTTTTAAAGGATGCCTGTCATTCTTAATACGTTCAATTTCGTATAATTCTGCGCAACACCTCTGATGTGAAATAGTTGCCTCAGGCGCCGCCGCACGGCGGGCGGGCGGCCACCGCGATACGCGCATTGGCGCCTACAAACCTAAGTGGATACTTCAAGCATTGTGCAATGCGTGAAGTATCCACTTAGGTTTGTAGGCGCCAGTGAGCCTCTCGCGCTGGCAGCACAACGCCGCTCCGCTCTGTTCGGCTTTATTATTTATACTCGTATAGTCAGCGTTTTTTAACTCATGATTTTGAAATGTTAGCACACTTTGCATTGATTATTCTCATTTAAATTGATGGGGAAAAAACATGTATCAATTTATCAAAGGAGAATAATAATATAAAGTGTGTTTTTTAAATATTGGTAGTTCCGTGTCAAATTTAATGATTTCCAAAGCACTTTAATTTTTTCCTCTACATTTTGTGCTTTTATTGTGCTGCAGCGAGGTGTATATTTGACGTATTTGACTCTAAAAGATCGATGTACAAATGGGTTAAAACTAAAGATTGCGTGCTTCTTGGGTTTTTTCCCTCTTATATTCATTTTTGCAGTTTTTGTCGGCACAACTGCGGCTCATTGAGATTAATGTCGCTTGGAAAAGGTTTTATAAATATTTGTCACGTTTTAAAAATATAAATGTTTTCAAAATGAAGTAATAATTTCGTAAAGAAAAAATTTTAAAAAAAATAAAAAAAGTACCTATATATATATATAAGGTATATTGTGCATTCAATATTTTAAGGAAAGAAATAAAACCAAATATTCACCAATGACAATTTAAAAAAGATGATTCAAAAGGAGAAAGTAATAACATTTCATTTAGAAAATGAGCAACCATAACAACACCTCCTTCTCTCTCAATTTCTCATTTCCATATTGTCAATATAATTTTACATACCGACTAAAATATAACGTTTGGACCAAGTCACTGTTGCTTATTTTACGTGTGGGCGTAAACTAATGGACAAAAAAGGTGCGCGCACAAAAATTCGTTGACAAAATGTCCTGAAACCGCTGTCAACATTCCTTGACCGATATGCGGTGAATAATGAAAACTGTAGAACCTTTATTGTATGGCAAGCCCAAGAAATTAGAACTTTGTCAAGTCGTTGGTTTTTTGAGACGCAGTTTTGTCTCCACACATCCGAGATCTTTCAATTCAATCACATTCACTCTGAGCTCCTTCATTTCGCGGGTTATACTTCCCCTTTCTTTATTGTTATACAGATGTATGTAGCAGGTTCCCTTCTTCATAATGTAAATCATACTCCTCTTCAAAAACAGATTCAAGTCTTGAAGGACTGAATGATCCTCTCTTGAGTGAAAAGCTCAATGGGATACGTGTGCGTATGTGTAGGCCGCAGGAACCAATCACATTCGGAGGGGTGCATTAAACTGAACTGATTTAAGGGTGAAGGGTCCTTCTCCGCGCCTTGGCTACAATTTGTGACTATTTCATCCGGAATGAGGACAGTAACAAGCATGCTTCCCTCTCTTCGTACGTGTTCCAAAAGTCGTCAACGCTACCAAATGGACGTATTTCTATCGAACGGAACTATGTGCATTATGACGTGAGCCCTGTTATGCACATATTCTTATGGGTCTCAGGGCTCATGTCTTAATGCACATAGTTCCATTTGGCAGAAGTACGACCAAATGACTGCGGAAACGACTAATCAACTTGTTCTTGCCTCCGAGATTCCTCTGGCTGGAGCAACTGCAGAGCTTACGGTTCATTGTTTTCTCCAGTGGCGAGACGTGAATGATCGATTATCGATATGTCCCCATTTGAAGCTATGGTAAAGAATCGATATTAAGGTGTTCGTTGCGAACGCACTGCTTATTGATCCTTTTCCATGGGTTTAAATGGCAGATAAATCGATATATCGCAGAGCACGCCGAGTCACTGATTTTCTCAACAGTGCACCACTATGCTCCTAATGATTTTGGATATTTTGATGAGGACCGAAAATATGAAGTACGTGGATAAAGATATGTCTGTCCATTCTGCCTTTCTTTTGAAGGGAGAAAGTTAGGTTTAAAAAAGGGTATGTTTTGAAAATCTTCAATATTGCTTCAGATTGGAATCATTGAGCAATTACTCGACGCTTACTTTGCATTTTTTTCTTACTCACTATATAGTATATTATATGTGATAGCATACTTTTCTAATTTCCCACGATAAAGTTCATTGGTCGCAGTTACTCTCCTTCGCTAGGGCGCAACAAGTAACACTTGAGCGATTCTCTATCGGAAAGCATTTTAGGGGCTCCGATATCTTGTGTTTGATAACGATGATTTTGAGTTCAAAATTTCTCTGAAACTACTCAAAAGTCAGCAGAAGCTTTTTGCAGGCCCACAAAAAGTTTTTAACGTTGAAAGTTTGTAAGTGGGAAGTAAGAATCTGCTACGATTGTCATATAATTGGAAACCTTCCTCATAAAATTAATTAATGGTAATCTAAGTATTCTGACGAAATATGATTCATTCCCAACAGTCAACTTTCTTAACCGAGAGGAACAGCAACTAGGGAATAGGAGCATCTTTCGCAGTGTGTGAGCCGGCTCATCTCATGGTCGCTGAATCGCAAGAAGCATGACCGAAACTTACATTCAGTAAAATCTTTGAAGGCTTGTATTTTTCATTCTAACTCATCTTTTTCTTTCTCTTTTTTGCGCAGGTGGTGGATCGAAGTGTTTGGTCCGGATGGTCTCAATGGTCACCTTGTTCTCGAGTTTGTGGGGGAGGAGTTGTGCTCGAAACCAGGCGCTGCTTTCTTAAACAAAAATACTCCAGGTGAGCACTCTTTTGAAGCGCCATCCTCGTTTCTTTCTCACAAAATAGCAGCATGGTCTAGTGCAAAAAACACCAATCTTTTGGATAGCTCTATTTCCTGTCCGTTGTTCGACCAAGAAAAAAACCAACCAAAATTACTTCAATACTGTGAGAAGCCCGGGAAGTTTGCATACAAGGCTTTGAGGTGATCAAACGGTGGAAACCCCATAATTAATATTGATATTTTAATAGCTACGTCGTATCCAAAAGTGCATATCTCATATTGCGACGTTGTAAGTCTCCGCTCATGCTTTATTTACGAAATAGAAAGCTAAACAGACATTTTTTCTCACATAACATTCACTACGAATTTTCTCTCCTGTTTCAAAAATATTTACCAACATTTTACAGCTATATTTCGGCGAGTTTCCCCTCAGAAAAAGAAAAAAATCGAGGAGATTTCCAAAGGTTCATATTGTGGTACAGGTTCACACTTTTCGATCTGAGTCATCGATTCCCATAGTATTCAGATTCAGGAGTTCGACACCGTATTATAAATTTTCCCAGTCTCAAAATCGTGACCTTAGCAAGAAAAATTTTATGAGGGGGGGGGGGTTATTCACCTCTCCTGGGGGATCTCAGGTAGGAAAAGACCAAAAACGACCACAAACTTGCGAAGAGAAAGAGAAGGCTCCCCGCAAGCGCCCTATTACAGCTGCATGCATGCCCAGAACTTAAACTAGATTCTATAGTCTATACAAATGATGTTTTGATTTCAGACCGGACGACAAATCACACGTAAAAAAAGAGACCAGTAGCAACTGCGTGGGTCCGTACAGACGAATGCGTTTATGCAACAATCACGTAAGTCTTTGCATTCTTAATTGCTGAAATCCACGAGGATACAGAGCTGCACGAGAACTTGCTCCCCCTCCCCGTCGCCCTCAATTGACAAGCATGGCCAGGATTGGAGCTTTCACGTGTGTATCAGGCGTGTTTCAGCTCAATTCGAGAGGCGGCTCGAGCTCGACACATGACACGAGCCGTGGATTTGAGGAGAGCCGCTTAACTTAACATCCGGTCCAGATTCAGTGCTAGGTTTTGCCTCGAAATTTCGCTCGAATCAAGCTACGCCCATGCGATAATTTTAAGCTCGCCAACCTACAAATGACAAAAAATAAAAACCCACTAAAATTTTGGACTAGTCCAAGTTATGATAAGGAGCGATTATTGAGGTGTTGGTAGCGAACACCCTGTTTATCGATCCTTTTCAATGGGTTAAAATTGTAGATCAATTGATATATCACAAAGCACTGCTCGTTGACGACAGCCCGTCTTTGAAGATGATCCATCGTGTATACCATACATTGTCTATTGCCATTACAAAGGCCGTCTGGCACTTTGTACCTAAGCACCAGTGTCCACGCTGTCCAGTTTGCGGTTGTGGGTACTGTGATTTTTCTTACCTGTAGTGGGCCAGTATTTGCGTTCCGCTCGACTTTTGAAACCGCACTTGTCTCAACCGCGGCCGGTCCGGCGGGGTGTAGCGTTTGGCACGCCCGGTTTTCTTAAGAGGTGTCCGCATCGCGCGCGCGTGGGCCGAAACATGCGCGCCTGTCTTTTTAACCAGGGTTTACTCGACGCCGTTCCACAAATATTAGTGCTCCAGTGAACTGATTTCAAGGCGCGCATCCTGAATATTAATTAGCCACCGACTTGATCTTTCTGCTCGCTCTCTTCGCGGCGGTTTCATAGATAGAGGCATCGGAACGAGGGATGCAAAACACATCCGACACTTGGAAATCGATGACATCGACATATTTTATCAAGCCTTAGAAAGAAATACTGAGAACATTGGTAATCAGAACAGTGAATGTGGCAGAAAGGAAATTTCTCTGCACTATTAAAAAATAAAAAGTCCGTGTTTTGACCAACATCCCGTATAATACATGTCACGTACACGGAAGAAAGAGGTAGGGGTTGTTGAATTATATAACGGAATTTTCAATTACTTGAGGTGGTACTAACCCAAATGTTGCGGTACTACCCCAACTTGAGTTGCGGTTTTGCCACAATTAATTGGAAATGACTATTATCATCCAACGAATTGGGGTAATGCCACAATTTTAGGGGATAACACCTAACGCTTTTTTTCCTTGTAGTCTACTTAAGAGGGTGGAGGAAAGAGCTTGCCTCATGCGGTTTTATAAGGAGGAGTGGGGGGGGGAGGATCAAGCGAGACTTATGCAAGTTTTTGACATGTTCAACATGTTCTGCGTGGATGTTTAATGAGGAAACATGTTTTGTTGTACTCGATTTCTCACCCAGTCTAGAAGTGTATTGGTGACAAATCACACGTATCCATATGGCAACTGTGGAAAAGCGCTTTCAAATAAAAGCAAATGTCAATGCAGCCAAATTATGAGCGTGACAATAATTTAAGACCCCGAAGTTCCCGCGCGAAGATTAGCACACGACAGTTGATCAGAAAGGAACGCGTTACATGCATGCATAGTAATATATAAATACTTGCATATGTGTCGGTGACGAGGCGTGAATGATCGATTATCGAGATTTCCCTATTTGAAGCTGTGGTAAAGAATCGATCGTTAATTTGTTCGTTGCGAACACCCTGTTTATCGATCCTTTTCCATAGGTTTAAATGACTGATCAATCGATATATCGCCAAGCACGTTACGCCATTGACTTGTGCAAATACCTATTTTACACTGTCCAATGGTATATTTACCACATGGCATGTAATGGTAGCCCACCGCAAAAATGATAAATGAAATGCGGAGTCTACGAAGGAATTAGGAGTCAATGCGCGGCGCGGGGTAATTTTTTACCAGATTGCGAGATGAACGAGGATGAATCCATCATTCGATGAAAGTGAGTAGCACTTGGAGTAATGGATATTGTTGCGTGGGAGTGCATTTCATACCAATGTTTTTCAAAGTGATGTCGGCTCCTTCGTATTATTTTATTACAGTTGCAAAATTTTCAGTGCAAATATCATTAAAATCAGCAAAATCTTCCGATTTTTGTGTTACTGGGGCTACAGAGAGAGAATAACTTCGTAAAGAGAAGTAAACTTTCCGAACGAAGCATAATTGCTTTTCTGGTAGGAAGCATAAGTCAATTATAGTTGAGCGTTGCATTTTACTGCTTCACTTGACGCGCGTTAATACTTTTATAATTTTTAAGTCGAGGACTTTCTTGGGAATAACGGCGGGCTCTGATAAAAGCACATAGTGTGTCGCTAATGGAACTTAACTTACTCCGATTGCGATGTTGCAAAATTTCTTATACTTTGATGATCTTTGCGCAGAACTACTGAAGGAATTGAACGCACTCCTCTACATGAATATCAACGTTTTTCACTACGACCATAAGGGTGAATAAAAGAGAAAAAAGAGAGAAAACGCACACAAGATTTTGTGAGGTATTTACATATTGCTCATAAAAATTGACAACTAAAAAATTACACAACATGTAAACCGAAGTTGATATTTTTCCCTTTGAATCAGCTACACATAAAACCGCATCAAGATTTAGATGATTTAATTATCCACTGCCGATAACTATAATGAGTATAGGAAAAATGATGACGATTTACTTGTCGATGTAAGAAAAGTTACCGCATTTGGTACTATATACTTCACTGGTGAGCTGTGAGTACCCCGAGCATAGCAAAAAAAATACATGTGTTTTGCAGAATTGAGTCTGGGCAAAAAATGTTTGTTTAATTTTTAGTTCTCAAAGGGCGAATAGCACTTACATTGATTCTCTATCTAAAATTTAAAATAAAGAACTCCCTTGGAAGTTGGTTTTCTGAATCCCTATTTCCCTGATTCCTCAGTCAATAGGAGAATGAAAAATAGCCAAGTCGCTCCATAAATGTCTCACCACACGACGAATAAATTTAAATTTTCATTAAGTTATTTTCTTTGGGAAAAGATTGAGAACCCTGATTTCCTGGAGTAATACATTCATCGAAGGGTAGCTTAATGCAGTCGTAGCCTACTACTTGGCTCCACTATTTATTATCTCCTCAACCTCCTCTCGATGGGTGTATTTCACGCTCATCCTCTCTTCGCATCAAACATTTTATTCTCTTAAAATACTTACAAAGTTATTTACTCTCTTCCTTCATTCTCTTCACGATGAAGCCCACTCAATATTCACAAAGATTAAAATATCAGTGATTCTAAAATTTAATATTACAGGCCCAAGGGATTTACTCACGATATGATTACGTGAATATCCAAAGTTTGAGCGATCTTTTTCAGGAGGACAAAAATGAATACTAGACAAGTTGCAAATCATGATTTTAATGGAGAACAACGTTAGTTGTGGTGCACTCCTCGTAATAAAGGGGGAAAATTGAATTTAGTAAGGCGTGCAGTATCTTCTGAAAAATAACTACAAAAAACCAGGGCTGGATTAAGAGGGTGGCCACATGGGCCGCGGCCCATGGCGGCAAATCTAGAGGGCGGCCAATTTTTGCAATTTTTTATATGTAGGTATAAAAAAATATCGGATTTAGAAAAAAAAATTACAAACGAGGAAAGGTGACAAAATCTCTCATTTCCTGAGAGTAGAGTAATTTTTAATTTTGTCGTCTTTCACTGATACAAGAGAAAGCATCTTTAATTAGTGGAGTTAAGAGAGAAACCAAACACGCAATTTGGTCTGGAACGGCGCGGCGCAGAGAGCAATGATGACGAGGACTTGAGATGAAAAGTAGAAGCCCTCGGCGCTGCGATCGGCATGTAACACATATTAGCGCCTACAAGACTGCACGAATACTTCACGCACGGCATCAAACACAGTGCGGTCATTGCGGTCAGCGAGAAACGGATAGCGTCTACAAGAATGCATGAATACTTCACGCATTGCGGTAAACGCAGCGCGGTCAGCGTGAAACGCATGGCGCCTACAAGACTGTCGGAATACTTCACGCATTTCGCCAAACACGACGCGGTCTGCGCGGCGCGGCGGCGGAAGTTAAAATCATTAAACCACATTCATGTTTGTTCTTTCATAATTTTTTCGTTCATTTCTTATGAATGGAAGGCCTTGTCCACACAGAGATAGGTTTACGAAACTTACCTTTTGCTAGTAGTGTTGACAGGGCATTCCCAAAACATATGTTCAACACGAGTAAACGCGTCTCATGCACCCCTCCCTCGGTGGCACGTTCACTTGATGGTTTTTATTGATGTTTCAATACGAATGAGAAGGGGGCGGCAAAATACAGGCGGCCCATGGGCGACAAGTAGGTAAATCCGGCCCTGCAAAAAGTATGTATTTTGCCGAGATGCACAAGAAAAATACTGAAGCAGTGAGTTCCTGGTAAATTGACTATACGTGGAGATGATCCTCTGGTTGTATCCTTGAATATACGTCCGGGTATCAGTTTGCGATTTCAGTTAAAGAGAGAGAAAAAAGTACCCATAGGCGCAAAATTTTTTTAAGAGTATACCACTACCCTCAATCTCTCATTCTATATTTTGAGCCCCTAAATGGCTAAAATACCCTCCTAATAACCGTTAGCCAATGCATTTTTTCCTATGTTTACCTTGATCTCGTCTTTTTCGATCAACAGGTTGAATCAGAGTCTCCCATGAGAAATCATACAATTAGTCTTCAAATGTACTTATTAAAACCGCAGGAGCAAGCATTTCCTTTAGCACTCGTATACCTATAACTTTCTCACTACGAGGAGGATGTCAGATACAAGTTTATGTGCCTTTAACCTGGAAAGTAATTGTATGGGTAATCAGGGCAAGTTTAACGATGAACTTTGAGAGAACTGAATGAGAGTGAGAACTTCGCGCACTGAACCACACAAAGGCAGATCAAAGGCACCAATGTCAAACTGACTATAAGGTTCCACTGCATTTGAAGAAGGTGGCAATTTCTTGAAAATTTTATGATAGAAGTAAGCAAAACTGTCATATGTACATTACGGTGTTTCAAAATCTCATTATACATTTTAATTTTTGAAGGGAAACCAACCAATATCCCCACTTGAAAATTGTAATGGTATGAATTTTTATCACCAAAACCAGAATCCCGACGAGAATTTCTGTTGTTTCAAAAAGAATTCCGACAAGGAGAGTATTAAGATGATCCCCTACAGGGACCCCGGAAAATTTTTCTCCGTGCAACGATTTTAAAGTTCAATTTTTATCTTCGATTTTGAATTTGATGATTGTTTGAGAGGAGTACTAAACTTTACGAAGCCGCTAATGCGATTTTGAAGTCGACTGTGTTTGTACATCCTTCAGAAGTCGAGAGTAAGTGCCCTGAGTTCCCCGGCAAGTGGCAGGAAGATACTTTTTATCTTCTTGAATTGTATTAGCTCTCGTCCAGGAGGCAAACACAGATTCCAATGCAACAATGTAATTTGAACTAATTTGTTTGAACTAAGTTAAACTAAGTAACTTGTTTGAACTAAGGGGCTTCTTTGCGAGTGATTTTAGCTGCGATCTCGGTGTATTTTTCTACATGCTTATCGAATTGTTATATTGGAAGTCTGTTACTTTTCTTGCCTTTTTCTAAAAAAATTTTCGGACTACATTTTCATTTCAGACTTTTTCTAAAGAACATTTTTAACTGTTGTCCTCTTTTTTTTACTTCCAGAACTGTGCATCAGGCACGAAAAGTTTTGTACAAGAACAGTGTGAAGAATTCAATGGGAAGCCAATGATGGGAGGACGAGTTTACAATTGGGAAGCATTCCTAAATGGTAAATTGCTGTTTTCATTACGAAATATCTGCCACGACCCATCAAAAGCAGTTATTGAAAAAAGATTAAGTTGGAGTTTGAAAAATATAGGTTCATGTTCACCGAACTGTTGATGGTAAGGGGAGGGGGGGCTGCTCTCTACTGCTGAATGCACCACACTGCGAATGCAGTGTAAAGGTGAATCCAGGGTTCGATCAGGGATAATTCAAGATTAGAGATAGCGCCACCAGTCGCCATTGAGAATTTCACTTTCCATCGACGATTACTGAAATAATATTCCTCGAATTACAAAAAGCAGATCCACAAGATATAGATTATTTTTTGCTTGATTTTTTGAGTCAAACATATTGGTAATTAGAATTACAAGCGCAGAGAAAGTACGGCTGAAACTTTGAGCTCAGCGGCGTCGGCCGAACGCGCAACGGAATCCCTGATGTTCTGTCTCTCTCTCTCCCAACGCCGCAATGGGAATTTCTTTCCGCGGTAGTTAAGACTTTATTTTTGGGAATTTTGAGAAGATTTTTTTACTGAGTGTTCCTCAAGTATGTTGCCATATCCCCTGGATCTCCAATCTTGAATAAGTATTCCGGTTTTTATTTTTTTCGCAAATATATGCGGCTATTCTGAGCAGCGCGACATGGTGGCCAAATCGCGAAGTTCCAAGCCTGGATTCACCTTAAGGTGCAAAAAGGGTATTTTACTAAAGAGAAGGAGAAGGATACAACACTGCAACAGTCGTTGAAAATGTTCATATGAGCAAAGAGAGGAAATTTTGTTGGTTTTAAACATGCTCATTTTCGATGAATTTCTGAACTGATCGCCTAGTTCCGCGAATGTGACTTAGAAAATCTGAGAATATTTTATCAAAAGAGCTGTTTTTCAGTAAGAACATTATCTATAAAGAAAAATTACCAGAATAGGAACGGTTTTGGATTTAAGGAGTTGAAATGCTTTAGAGCTCATAGACATCAGGGTCTTATTTTTTCTTTCAAGATTCCCTTTAAGAGCCTTTTTGCAATTTCACACAGGTAATAAAACATACATGTTTGGACTCCAGTTTCCCTAGATTATACCCTGTAATGTCGATGGTTCAAGTCAAAACATTGCATTGTAGATCTTTTTGCAATTGCATTAAAGGCCGTATGTAAAATGCGGAAACTTGCAACGTCGCAAATTTTCAAATTTCCTCTTTTTTTTTAGTTTTTGAAACAACCAAAATATTTTCTTAAATTTTCCTTAAATTATTTCTACTTGTTCAAAGAGACACGAGAAATTTCAATGAAATTTTTGCTGACGTTTCCTCATACAAAGAAGAAAAAAACGGAGATTTTGGAATTGTGGACTGAAAGGTATGCATTTTTTTTAAGTGCGCAAAGGTTTTTTTTTTTCTTTTTTTGCTTTATGTTTTGATAACCTGTTGCAGCTCCGAACCAGTGCGCTCTGAATTGTCGCGCAATTGGCTTTGGCTTCTATGCGACTCTCAAGCCAAGCGTGAAAGATGGAACTCCCTGCAAAGGACCGGAAAAGGATAGCGGGCGCTGGATGTGCGTTTCCGGTATCTGCACGGTGAGTGAGCTTCGCCGTTCATTTCCTCGAGCCTCCAAATGTGTGTCACTACAGTCGACCGATTTCCTATCAATCGCACATGCATAATACTGTCCCTCCATTTAATCATCTTTATCCATCCTTGCACGGTAATTCTTGAGACAGGACAGGCGCTTAATCGATGTGTCGTCATTTGTTGACCTGTCCTATCGAATCAATGAAACTTAGAGAGGTCAGTGCCCTGGAAGAGTTGAGCAGAGGCTGAGCCATCGCTCAGCCTCTTCCTCGTCCGCCTATGGTAGCTGAGGCAAAACTCAGGGAACTATCTCGTGTGATATCAACGAGATTCGTAAAAGAAAAGAACAGGATAGCGCGGTCTGCTCTCATTTTGAAAATGTTTTCAAATAATGTCTTTAAAATGACCCATACCGTATCCTATTCATTACACGCCTACAAGAGCGATTGAAACTGTTGTACAGTGCACAATTAAGAACAAAATTCCAATCTCTGGTGCTGACATTATTTTTGATTCTCAAGATAGTTCTAGTCACAAAAACGAAAACATTCCCCTCATTATGGTCAAGATTTGTGGGCTGTAATCATCCGAAAATGAGGCAACTCGAATTGCAGCGGGCGTTAGACTTGGCGGCACTGATGTTTAGCCAAAAACACGCCTAACTTGAAACATCAATGGTTGAGGGAATAGCTACAAGTGCCGCATCTGGTTTGCACTGTAGCAGGGAAGCAGCAACGGTGCCATATCTCTAAATAAACTCTTTCTCATGTACCTAGGACAACTTGAACAAGCTTAGCATGCATCCGAAATTCGAATTAGGAACTTTACAAAGGATGTGAAGAAGTTAAATATTATTTCAGACATTTCATGAAAGGGAGACGTCCTACGATTATTTTTGTTGTTCGGAGTACATACCTACGTACAGATAGAATATGATCTCTCAGCTTCATGGCTGTTGTCCAGCAACTCATAAAAACCGCTTCTGATGAAGCACAACTTTTATTTTAAAACTCTGACACTGAACTCAATTAATGCGAATTTCCGATTGCAAAATTTTTATTATTTTCCCCCCATAAGAAAATCAACCGGCGGTTTTTCCTAAATTTTTGTGTGAATTAGTCGAATTCGGTCATAAGTATTCACGGAAAATTTGAAGGGGTCATTACGGGTACTTTTCTATCGAGGAAATAAAACAAATTAGAAAATATGTTTTGCGTTGCAATGGAAATACGCATTTTTTTCAACTTCAGCCGTCGGAAAATATTTATGATTAGACTGGTCACGACAGTGATTTCCCTCCTTTCTTTCACCTCGCTGAACCAGCTGACAGAGGTATGGTATCTCAGCCAGTTTTTGTTTCCCTAATTCATCGCCTGGCTGACGTAAGGGCGTTACTACATCTTAAGATGAGCCCGAAAAACATTAAATTGTATGGACGACAGGGTTCATTGCTAATTTCAGTTACGCCCTTATGTTAGGAGGGCGACGAATTATTGCCCTGCCGGCTGCTCAGGAACAAAGTAACTCGAAAGTTGAACTTTAAATATAAATATTTTTTAATGCGACCGGGGGAAAGAAGGCCGGGGAATGGACAGGTCGCCAGGTAATGTCTCAGTGTTACATTATTTCGGGCTACGCGAAACTCTCGTATACCTGTTTTTGAATATTGACATGCTTAAAATAATAATCGCAATTTCCACAGGAATGTTTTTCTTTTCTTTTCAATTAGTATGGTTAGATAGAGAGTGGTTGATTAATGTGTGACTGTTGGGAGGTTGGCTTGTATGCTTTGCCCGATTTGACTCTTGGCCTGCGCCATACATGATATTAATGAGCATCAGCTCATTACTGTATAAATATTCTCAAAAAACATGGCAACCGCTGAAAGATGTTAAGTGGGTTTTAAATACTTGCCCAAGAAATTCGGGAATTAATTACGACTCCTCCATGACTTAGCTCCCTTCCCCTTCCCGCCATATTTGGCTCCACCCCCACAACCCACCTCACCCCTCCCAGCGTGGCTGTCAAACTCAATAATGAAGACACATCTCTTCCCACTCGATTTCATTCAACAGAAAAGCAAGAGGAAGGAGCTTTCATCCATTCATTCTAGTTAGCATTTCTGTGTGTCCACCTCTAAAGTTTCATTCATTCATACGCTCATTCATTCATCTATCCGACCGTATCGTGAGCTTGGTTGTCAAACCATCCTGTTGTACTTGCTGTCTACTGGTGCGTGAAAAATGCCCTCCGCTTCCGATGCTTTTGATTGGCCCGGTTTAATCTGAGATTTTTTTTAGCATCGGATAGTTTTACCGCAAACGGCTTCACTTTTCATGCGCGCACAGTGTACCGTGAGGGTGATTTTTAGGTGCATAGGGGACCGTCCCTAAATTACTTAGCGCTACAAGGAGGGGGGGGGGGGTTNGGGGGGGGTTCTTTGCCAACGGTACGTGGCGTTACGTTACGCAGGGTGGGGGGATATAAAGGAAAGCGTTACATAACGAGTTTAAATTATTTTTTTTCGAGTTTCAGCAAAACTTTTTGTCGGTCGTCTTTGGAAGTTCTAAAGCATTTCTCTGCAATAATTTTCTCTTTTACTCAGTAAATAAAAACCGAGGAAGAGAATCGGTTCGGTAAATGTAAGGTGATATTTGGATTAATTTTTATCGACATGGGAAGGGGTATCCGGGCAAATGTTACGTAGTTTTTAGGGGGGTCTAGCACAACACGCCATCGAGCGTTACAGGCTGTCAAAAAACAGCAAATTTAGCGTTACATAATTTAGGTACGGTCCCTAAAACCTGTTATTGGATTTGATTCAAGTTCCCCTGAAATGAAAGAATTTGAAATTTAATCTTGATCCTCAAACGCAACGTATTGACTGACCCCCCCCCCCCCCCCCCCTTGTAAACTACTGCAACGAAAACGCGATCTCCTACGCAACAACTTCCCTCAGTCGCGCACACATTTAATAAATCTTAAGTAATCTAAATTTTTTTTCTGGGTGCATTTTTTTGGCATCAGAAGGACGACAACTTTTGCCTGATACAGTGCTCCGCCTCCCTAGCTTAAGTAACAAAGGTATAAACCCCACCGGTAGTGTAAGCGCGTACACCAGCATTGTCCTGGTTTCCGCTGTCCGACCGGTGCAACTCTTTTCATTAGCTTACCATCAATTAACAGGTTCATAAATGGTACCATTGTTCAGAAATCCTGTAAACAAAAACCTAACACGATCCAAAGTCGATTATTCTAATTAAGTAGTTCAAAAGTTGATGCAAACGACGATCTCGCAACTATGATTGCTGACGCTGATTAGATCAACGACTAATGAGTTTGTCGGACGCGGTGTGACCAACCTAACAAAACGGTTGGCAAATTTAGAATGGGCGTATCGGATGTTGGTGGTCCTGTCCAGAGACGAGCCTGTAATCACCTGAAAGTCTGTGGTTAGGGCCGCCTGAGAATCTCATAACTTTTGATCCTAATTAATCTACGGTCCCATTCATGGGCTTGTTCCCCGTTTGGTGAGCGGATGCACTCACAGACAAGGTTTCAATCTGGCCAGCTATGCACTTATAACATACGCACTTTTCATCGTTGTTAACATAGTTATCACTGATATTTTTCTATTTTTGTGGGAGAAAATTTGTTGGGCTTGACCAATAGCAACAATACAACAATGACCAACAATAGAAAGTCTGACACGAAATTTCCACAGGGATCATTGCAATTTCTATAAGGACTCTTACACTTTTTGAAAGATAGCACCACCCTCTTTGTGCACTTGGAGAAAATGATACGAGGACAAGTAGACAAGCGTTTCATCATAGAAAAATAATATGTAAAAGGTGAACGTAAATAGGAGCGCGAATCGAAAATGCACACGTACGTATTCGAAAAATACACATATCTCGCTTGATAGGATGATGTCAATGAAAAATTCATAAATTTATTGGCAAAAATTGTACCTTTCAGGCTCGCCTTCAATTTCGCTGCAAAAGAGCACGAACAGTTACCACTAAAAATGAAAAAAAAAAAAAAAAAAAAAAAAAAAAAAAAAAAAAAAAAAAAAAAANTCAGGGCCGGATTTATCTACTTGCCGCCCATGGGCCGCCTGTATTTTGCCGCCCCCTTCTCATTCGTTTTGAAACATCAATAAAAACCATCAAGTGAACGTGCCAGCGGGGGAAGGATGCAGAAGACGCGTTTACTTGTGTTGGACACATTTTTTGGGAAAGCCCTGTCAACACTACTAGTAAAAGTTCACGGAACTTTGCGCGAAAGTTAAGTTCCGTAAACCTATATCTGTGGGGACAAGGCTTTCATGAGAAATGAACGAAAAAATTATGAAAGAACAAACATAAATGTGGATTAATGAGTTTAACTTCTGCCGCCGCGCCGCCACGCAGACCGCACCTAGTTTGGCGCAATGCGTGAAGTATTCAGACAGTCTTGTAGGCGCTATAAGTTTCACGCCGACCGCTGCTGAACGCACTGTGTTTGAAGGAATGCGTGAAGTATTCACGCAGTCTTGTAGGCGCTATGCGCTTCACGCTGATCGCACCTAGTTTGGCGCAATGCGTGAAGTATTCATGCATTCTTGTAGGCGGTATCCGTTTCACGATAACCGAAATGACCGCTCTGTATTTGATGCAATGCGTGAAGTATTCGTGCAGTCTTGTAGGCGATAATATGTGTTACATGCCGATCGCCGCGCCGAGGGCCTCTCCTTTTCATCTCAAGTCCTCGTCATCATTTCTCTCTAAGTCGCACCGTTTCAGGCCAAATTGCGTGTTTGGTTTCTCTCTTAACTCCACTAATTAAAGATGCTTTCTCTTGTATCGCCGAAAGACGACAAAATTAGAAATTACTATACTCACAGGAAATGAGAGATTTTGTCGCCTTCTCTCGTTTGTAATTTTTTTTCTAAATTCGATTTTTTTAATACCTACATTTAAAAAAATCGCAAAATTTGCCGCCCCCTATAGATTTGCCGCCA